TCACTCTCCCTTAACCTTTATCTCTTCTTCATACTAGTTTTTCCTCTGCCTACACACAGGATACCTACCCTTGCTGTCTACTTTTGTTGGTCGGCCCCTTTCCTATTCGTTGCTTCTGCTTCTCACCCATACTGCAAGGCTTAGCCATTTAAGGAAGTCAGACTCCCCAGAACACTGTTAAAGTGCTTAAAGTTATATTAAATAGAAAAATAAAAGAATCAATGAAGAAGATACTCAAAGAGGAAAGTGTACTTCCCACATCTTGTAGTGGACTTGTCCTAGGAGAATCATAACTCTAGACAAACTCTCTCATGGAATCCTTAAAGCTCATGCTATGATTATTGATGAAGAGTACAGCTGAGACCTTTGGCAATTCAGAGGCCACTGGTCTGTGCAGACATCATGGCCTCTCTAACAGGGGAAGGCATGTAAGGAAAAGGAAATGATATGAACAGTGCTATCACATGTTCTGTGGTGCCCACCAAATAAGTGTGTATAGTCATATGAGTTCCCTCCTTAGAATCTGGCGCTCCCATGGTGGTCAAAGCCATCTGTCTATCTGGTCTTATTTGCAGGTAGTCAGGAAAAATAAAGTAAGAAAGCTGATAATATAAGCTTTGTGAACCCTACCCTCTCTCCATATGCTTCAGCTCTGACCAGGAGAGAGCAACTTGGGAGGTGAGGTCTATCCAAAGTAATCAGATTTGACCAGTTAATAGTACAGTGGTTTGAAGAACAATCACTCTAGCCCTTTAGAGGTAAAAGGCTATTGGGTAGATTTGCAGGCATCTGCTCAGATCTCATTCATAATAAACTTGCAATTCCATGACTCCATTATGCTGTGTGATTTGACCCCAATGCATCAGATTCAGAGACCCATCAGATGTCTGAGGCAGAGATCAAAATGGGCAAAGTAGGAAAAGGATTCTCTAAGAAACAAGTTATCATCATTGGAGCTCCTGCTAGCCATAGCCTGGCTCTGTACCCAGTTGATGCCAGGCTTTCCTTGCAAATGGGTAGCAAGAGGACAACTACAATAATGTAGACTCACCCACAAGGCCTTCTGCTGCTCACCACCCAGCATCCATCTGTGAGATTTCTGAACAGTGAGCCATTTCAGGTTTTAAATTTCATTTTACGTACAATTTTATCACTCACTGAGATTTTTTTTCTAAAATAAAGAAGCATTTAATTTTTTTCTCTCTTCAGCTGTTAGCACATTTAAGTTAGTTCCTGCTTTTTTTGTTTAGGTAGGTTTTGTTCATGATGATTTTTTTCTTTTCTTGCTCATTGGAATATAAGTGGAATATAATTATTTTTGTGATTTTCAGATTTGTTGTTGTGCAGAGAAAAAAGATAAAGGTCAAATGATCAAAGGCATTTGTTGATGACCCAGAAGAACAATTCAGATTTAAGCATTATTACAAGATACCATCTAATGCTAAGCATAATTTTCCTTGACACATGTGGTAATTAATTTGTCAAGTGCAATGCTGCTTACCACGACTAGTCATTACTTGAATGTGGAAATATAGTAGTCCTTTGGTATCTGTGTGGGATTTGTTCCAGAACCCCCACCCCAGATATCAAAATCCATGTATACCTACATCCCACATTTGATTCTGCAGAACTCACCTGTAGGAAAAGTTGGTCTTCCATATCCTCAGGTTTTTGTATCCCATGAACACTGTATTTTCAATCCTCATTTGGTTGTGGATGCAGAACCCACAGATACCGAAGGCCTACTGTACTTATTGAAAAATATCCACATGTAAGTTGACCCATGCAGTTCAAATTTGTGTTTCTCAAGGATTAACTATATTTATTGAGTGCTTGAAAATCAAGCAGCTAGGATGGTATACTGGACAAAGCAAAGGCTCTTTCTGTGTTTTTTTTTTTGTTTTTTTATTTTTTGTTTTTTTGCTGTTTTTATGGTCTTCACTTAGTATAAGAGCTTCTGTCAAAAACTCCTGCAGCCTCCAGTAGTGGAGCATTTATAGAAGGTTTTGGCTAAGGTACTTCATCAGTGCACAGCCCAATGTACTACTTGTATAAATTTCATCTTTACTACATTAGATTTCTACCAGTTGTATAGAAATAGCCTAGTATGCTTAGTTAGGACAATATGTTTAATATTGGGGATGATCCTAATAAATTATAGATTTCTCAATATGGTATTCTAATTAAAACCTAATTAGCAATTCACTGTGCTAGAACTTGGATTTTTCACATAGAAATAATTTCGCTATGCATGGAAAGTAAAGATGTATTTTTTGGAGATGTTAAGAGTTTCACAAATACAAGGCAGCATATGTGGAATGTAGAGGTGTTAAAAATCTTAAGTGTGGGTTTCTCTGTAGCTTTAAGCTTGAACAGTTTTGTATAATCAGCAAGCTTGCCAAACAGTATCAAAAAACTCATTTTCTTCAAGTGCTTTATTTATCTTTAATAGAACCTTCATCACCCTGGTGTTGTAAATTTGGAGTGTATGTTTGAGACGCCTGAAAGAGTGTTTGTTGTTATGGAAAAACTCCATGGAGACATGCTGGAGATGATCTTGTCAAGTGAAAAGGGCAGGCTGCCAGAGCATATAACGAAGTTTTTAATTACTCAGGTAAGAAATCAATTAGAGACAGAAAAAAATATAATGTTTAATATCAAATGTTATCACTGTTTAACTACAGCTTTCTGGCCTTGTGGTTTAGTCCCTACTTCCAGTCTAAACTACACTAGAAAAGGTTGTAGTGGCTTTATTGTGTTATGTGATTTATATCTATATTAATCAGAGTCCATTCATATCTATATTAATCAGTGTACCAAATTAGTAACGTGTTTGCAGGTCCATGTATTCAAACTTTTCACGAAAGTTTAAAATGTGTATTGGCTTATTGGTTCTTTGAGAATATTTAAGAATGGGTATCCCTGTTAGATTTCATAGGTCCTTTATCTACATCTGTCTTGGCTGCTGTATGAATACCATCATATGTAATTTTTTCATTGAAATTTCTTTAGAAACCTATGTTAATCCAGCTCATTTCAGTGGTCTTGAATATAAAGAAGTTTGAATGTTCATTGTCAGTTTTTTTTCTTGGCCTCTTAACTGGTAGAAGACATTTTGAAATTCATACACTGGAATGAAATTATTTTGGCGATTTTTCTTCTTTATAGATACTCGTGGCTTTGCGGCACCTTCATTTTAAAAATATTGTTCACTGTGACCTCAAACCAGAAAATGTGTTGCTAGCATCAGCTGATCCTTTTCCTCAGGCAAGTATAAAAGCCTCTTTCAGCAAAAAGCCAGTTTACAGCATTGCTAGCTTCCATGTAGTATCTTGTCACCTTCTATTTTTCCCTTAAAACCTCTACTTGTTTCAAGTGTTTTATATTCATTTTCATCCATTTGTTACCTTCTTGTATCTTTGGAACTGTGGTCTTGTTAGTTGGGCTTTTTGGTGAAGCCTACCTTAATTATATGCAAATGTGCTTTCTCATTCTGCCTTTTGGCTTTTCCAGAAGTAGCCTATAGGTGACAACACTTGAGTCCCAGAGATGTTACCAGCTCACTAATGGGCAAGATATTAAACCTCATTGTTGTTCTCAAGGACAAGGGCAAAACTTTTTTTCTTTCCTCAACTTAGAGAGTGGGAAACCAAATATCTCCACAGGGAATCCTAGATTTGAAATGGCCTGGCTGATGTGGCTGTCCTGCCTTGCTTCCCTAACACCTTCTGGTCCTGCCTACATATGTGCCAGTGCAGAGCTAATTTTGAGGATTATTATGGATGACATCTCTGTACTTATCCTTCACCCTCTGCTCATAATAAGCCCTTGAGTGGTCATCACTTAGGTCCTGATTTGCATTATGTTTTCCTGCCTTGTAAACAACACTACCCACTTCTGAGTACACTTACCTTCATATTTGTCTCTTAGTTTTTGGAGAAGGGAGACTTGTTTTCATTTTTTTTAGTTTTATTTTTTAATTTTTGAGACAGGGTCTCACTCTGTTGCCCCAGGCTGGAGTACAGTGGCGCAGTCTCAGCTCACTGCAACCTCTGCCTCCCAGGCTCAATCAATCCTCCCACCTCAGCCTCCCAAATAGCTGGGACTACAGGTGCATACCACCATGCCAGGCTAATTTTTTAATTTTTTTGTAGAGATGGGGATCTCACCATGTTGCCTCGGTTGGTCTTGAGCTCCTGCCCTCAAGCAATCCACTTGCCTCAGCCTCCCAAAGTGCTGGGATTACAGGCATGAACTACTGCACCCTGCCAAGGGAGACTGTTTAGTTGATATTTTTATGAATGAAAACATACTTTTGTATCACTACATGAGCCACCGTCTTCAAATACCTAAAATGGAAACTACCTATTACTTTAAGAAATCCATATCATTTACTGTAAAGGGAAAGTATTTAAAGTATTATGGTTGTATCTGGTGAATCTGAACCAAGAGATACAGACACACAATTGTGAACTGAGTATTTCTGCAAACCCTTTTATCAACAGGTGAAACTTTGTGATTTTGGTTTTGCCCGGATCATTGGAGAGAAGTCTTTCCGGAGGTCAGTGGTGGGTACCCCAGCTTACCTGGCACCTGAGGTCTTAAGGAACAAGGGCTACAATCGGTCTCTAGATATGTGGTCTGTTGGGGTCATCATCTATGTAAGCCTAAGTGGCACATTCCCATTTAATGAAGATGAAGACATACATGACCAAATTCAGAATGCAGCTTTCATGTATCCACCAAATCCCTGGAAGGAAATCTCTCATGAAGGTAATATCTTCCATTCAAAAATGATAATGATCTAATCCTTATGTGTTTATGTTATTAATTTAAATGAATTTAACTGTAAGTTATTACTTGATAAATGCTCATTGTAAAGTGCCCACCAGAGTGGAGACACAAAGACACAAATTAATTGGGGTGGAACACATATACATAACAGAAATTAGGGAGATATAT